GGTGACCTTGCGTACATATGAGGTTGAGTCAATCCATGGACGAGTCGACATAATATTCGACAATTGACAAACCATGTCAACAGCCTTGAGCACGCCGATGATGACACCGACGACCCAACCACGAGCTTCTATCAATACTTTGACATTTTGATTCTTTAGTAAATTTGAAGGCCTGTGAGGATTCCAACGCAATTTTAGAGGAAAAGATACGAACTGTTAACAACTTCCGGTACTGCATCAAACAAGGTGGTCAATGATCAGCATGTTCTCTGCATCACAGTCTTTTGACATAACTCACAGGTGCAGATGTCGGCGCAGGTGTACCATAGTACTGATAGGGCGAGGGACCAATATTTGAGGGCGGAGGGAATGATGGATTTTGCTGCCCTGTATAAACAGATTTGGGATTAGCTTCATCACAAAAGCCATTGATAGACGCGCCGTATGCAACGGGGGGTACAGAAAAGGGTGCGTTAGACATGAAATTTGTGCTGGAGAGGGAGGGGGACTAATGAGCCCTGGTCAAGTCAAGGTACTTAAGCATATTCTGACCTTCCATGTTTGGAATCAGTCGTGCGCTGTGCGCTCAATTGTCAAAAAGAAGCGCGTGGAAGCTCTAGATCATAGAATAGAAACTGGATTAGATTGGAGGGTAAATGCTGTAAAACCATGAGGCCAATGGTGATTCCGCCAGTGGAGTGTACGAAACAAGGGGAAGATGACAAACCTCAGGAACCCGAACATGAAGCTCGGGATTCAGAATCAGAGCGGAGAGACCGATAAGCATAACGTCAGGAATTTTTTCACCGACAGGTGTGGAAGGGCTTTCGTCACGGTCATGCGCCACAAAAATTGCACAAGGGTCGGCGCCGATATGGGCCCTCGTAAAGTGAGGTAATGAATGGACAAAAACAGGCTGCCTGGTGAGAAACAGAGGATAAAAGCGCCCGTGGTTTAGAGCACGAGGCAAAAAAGATGGCCAAAGAAGAAGATTCCGTTTCGATTGGTAGTACGTACTAGAGGGAAGTTGGCGATGATGCTCAACCGGGAGTTTGAGAAAAAAAAATCCGGAATCTAAACTTAGGTGAGCCAAGCTTGAAGCTTCACGTTTAACACAGTATTAGCCATGAGAAATAGATGGTCCTCAAATAAGTTGTTAAAACGTTAAAGGGCTTGACGTGGTGATAGATCGTTTGTTTCTCAACAAATTCTCACGGTTTCTGAAAGGATCGATGATTGATGGAGGCATCCCTGAACTGAACATTATATTTCTCGACATCAAACCTCCACAATAGAAGCGCTTCACCGCTAACTTACCCGATAAATCATGTCAAATCTTCTGACTATACCCTTCAAGAAGACATACACAGTCGACATCAAGGAAGCAGCACGACATTATCTTTACGAATTTGGTGGAGGGCATCCAGACGAGTTTATCGAAGACACCAAGCTTTGGCAAAATTTGAGGGAAAATGGGGTCGGAGGTGTAGTCCATAACGATCGAATCAACTCATCCCTCATGTCTGTTTGAATCTCTCGTTCCCTTTTCAAAGCTAAACATTGTCCCCAATAAGTTACCATGCTCAACTTGTCGCCATCCTAACGAAACTGCCGTCGGACGTGAGTTCTTTAGAAACCACACGATCCGAGCTCGTAACCTGACGTTCAATATCATTAGATAGGTTTAGAGATGCCATACGCTCCCGTATTCCAGGATAAAGCTGTCCCCATCTCTCTGAAAAGTCTCGTATTCGAGCGATGTGGTGTTCTTTTCAATCTCGCTTCTTTGTACTCTCAGCTTGCTACATCTGAAGATCGATCGACAACGGAGGGTATCAAACGAGCTTCAGCAAATTATCAAGTATGTGATTCAATCTCTTTCTTTCTTTTCAAGTGTTGCAAATCTCGGTCGTTTGACATCTCAAAGCATGCCGCAGGTGTCCTGTCTTTCCTGAGAATTTCAGTCGCGCCGAAGTTGATATTACCATCTGACGAGGAACAAATACCCCGCGACATCGCTGAATCCTTTCTCTCTGCACTTGAGCAGCTCATGTTGGCCCAGGCTCAAGAATGTTCATGGCAGATGGCGAAGCTTAGTATGCGGTCCTGTTTCTAACATAACGTGATTTGCTAATTATCTTCTCTTTAGACCAATACAAGAACGGCTTGATAGCGAAAGTATCTGCTCGTGTATTATTACCCTTTCCGTTTTGCTTGTTTTTTTTTGTCTGACACATTCTGTAGGTATCCTCTCTATACCAGGCAACTACACATGCAATTCGCGGAGCAACGCCTCCGATCACGGATATCTTCCCAGCCGTATGTGTTCAAATCCTGTCGTGTCATCCCACTCAATCGCCTCTCGTAGAATTGGCTTCCCCATATCGAGTCTAAAGTCCACCATTTCTCGGCGGTATCAAAATATCGCAAAAGCATGGACGAGATTGAGGCCAGTAGGTACCTAGTTTCTCATTCCGGTTCGCTTGTTCCCGATGGTGATTACAACCTCACTTTTAGGTACGGAGTGGAAATCGCAAGACTCTTGGAAGCACATGAAGAGGCGAAGAAGGCATACGAGATCGCGCGGCGAGGGCGAATAGCACCTTCCGTCTTGCAAGATGTGCAGGTAATTATTTTTACTGCCACCCTTTTTATCTCGTTAATGAATTTGCTGGTCAGTCATTGCTTGAGATAGTACAGAAGGACCTGCACCGAGCAGAGCGTGACAATGATCTTATATATCACCAAGACGTCCCTGCCCCATCTGCACTCGTCCCTATCGCTCAAACGAACCTTGTTTCTTCTGTTGTCCCGATTGGCTTGTCTAATCCAGCCAGCTTTATTGAGGGTGGAAGAGTAATTTTCGGGGATCTGGTTGGGTGGGGTGCCAACGAAGCTATCAGTACGTTCTATACGTGTTATCCTTCTTGTCTTCGTTTCAAACACTGTCCCAAGATATTTACAACGACAGAAGACGCAATTTAATTAAGGAGAAGATATTAGACACATCAAATGAGCTACAGGACACGGCGGATGAGTGAGTTTTCCGCCATTTTCGGTTGAATACGAATAACAGCGTTAGAACCCTTCGGCGACTCAATCTTCCCGCAGCTTTGGAAGCGCTTGAGCGTCCAATCGGTCTACCTCCGAGCCTTCTTCGCAAAGCCGAAGAGGTACGTCTGGAAGATGGACCCAAGAAAGTTGAATTGTCCCTCGAAGATGTTCAGAGACTTGCTCAACAAGACCAAGCTATTTTGGACGAAGTCAGCTTCCCTCATGATGGCTCACGAAAGCGCATCTGATCTATTCCTTTTGTTGTCAGGCTATGGATATTCTTGATAACGAAGCATCGGAGGATGAAGCTGCCCGAAAACTTACTACGCTTGATAGATTACCATCCTACCAAGCGAACATCGACTTGGTTGCGAAGGAAAAGCGTTATCGGTCGATTCTTGTGGAAGCCGCTGCAAGCGACGAAACTGTACGACAAAAGTGGGACGAATGGGAGCAAAGCATCGTTGAGCTTACTTGGAGCGAGGTACGTCAATCATTATTTGGTAGTCACAATCCCATTTTCAGCGCTGACTTGTTTTGGAAACAACAGGAAGATCTCGAATCGTCTATCCCCTCTTCGACAATTACATCATCCACCGCCACGACCCCACAAGGTCGGGAAACACAAAGCCACGCTCGGGCACTCAGGGTACAAATCGAAAGCCTCGACGATGTACACCGCGCACGGGAGCAGCTTGTTCGAAGAGCTCGGGCACTCGAAGCTGCAGACGACATCCGGGAACGAGTGATGAGGGTCGCAGGAGGATTTGCGCGACTAACAGAAGTTACTCCCGCCATGTTTGAGGATTTGTCAGACGAAGAGCTCGCAAAATATGATAAATTCCTTGTGGAGATGAACGAGATCGGGCAACGTCAAGGAGCCGTACTTGCTGAGATCCAGGTGTGTCCGACTTCCTTTTTGTCGTCGTCTTCCCGCGGCCAACGTGGATGCGGCGTGTATGGTTCTAATTGCTGACTGTGCTGTGTGATTTCTCCTTCTTTTGTTGTCGCGCGCCTGTCCTATTCATTTCCATTTATGCTGTCGGTCGTACAGCGCCGCAACGAGCCATTCCTGCAGTCGCGAAAGGATGATCCCATCGTCAAGGAGCGAGAATACGCTCTGCAGTCTCTGGACCTTGCGTATCACAAATATCGTGAAATCACGAGAAACCTCGAAGAGGGGTTGAAGGTACGTACAAACTGACGCATTGACTCCTCGGCGTCGTTGCAATGTGCCTCGGGCTAATTTCTCCACCGTTTTCCTCCTATGGGCAGTTTTACAACGACCTCGCTACCATCTTATTACAGTTCAAAGAAGCCTGTAGGAACTGGAGCCGAGCACGAAACCAACAAATTCAGTAAGAAGCTCCCTTAAAACAAACGCCAAGGAACCTGTTGATGTTTAGTTGCTAACTTCTTCAGTTCCTTACGCCGGTCACTTCAAAACATGTCGTTGGATTCTAACCTTGGCAAGCTGCCAGCCAGCCCCATGCCGAAGGAGGCTGCCGAAGCATACCCTGGCTCTGACCACACAGCACAACCGCGTGCCCCAAGTGGTGGCGAACTTGATGCTAACAGACAGTCTGATTTACCATCTTCCACGAGCCAGCTTCACCACGAAAGGACAAGGTCAACATCAGGCCCAGATGATTTACGAGGCATTCTGCAACAAGAACGACAGCAACGCTTTGAGAAAGAGACTGCAACTCCTACCATTGCTTCAAAACATAGGGGCCAGTCGACCCGGATTGATCTACCGCCACTTGGCTCTAGCGAGTGGGAGTTTGAAGACATCAAGCTTCCACCACCACCGCCTACTCCAAAACGCAGGCACTAATTAGGGGTAGATAACCTATAGAACAAACGTCGGGATTTTATTTGTCGACATGGCTAACAGCAAGGTTCCTTCACAGAACTTAGTAGCACATACAAAGACATTTTTCCATGGGGGCATAGCTCAGTTGGGAGAGCAGCAGACTGAAGCACGTGATTCGTCATTCGCTTTCTGAAGGTCCCGCGTTCAATCCGCGGTGCCCCCATTTTTTCTTTGCCATCTACAACGATGTCACGCTGTAAAAGTATGCGCAGACACCTTTCCAGTGCATACCCCATTGTAAACCAGATGTCTTTCATCCTCCCAATACCACTAAAATCAACGTTCACTTCATTCGCTGTCTGAAATAGACCAACAGAACGAACTTGAACACTGAAACCAAGAGGGCTAACTGTCGCGGATCTCATCCGGAGTCTTGTTAACATTAGTGTCCTTGCGAGATATACAGCAAAAGGAGGAACTGGAGGAACTATGATGGTGCTTTCTAGAAGATGCTCTCGGGCCAAGTTCATGCGTCTCTTGGGCCTTGCTTCATGGATGGACGTGATTTTTGTCACTGCTATGCACGCTTCGTTTCACCTGCAGTGGCCTGATCCACGATTTTTTTGATATCGTCACGCCTGTTTCGCATGTCGAACTTCGACGCAGTTATTCTATTGCCTCATTTTATCCATGGCCTACTATCAAATAACGCGACAAGTTCAAGTCTCAGATCTCCACACGATCAGACCTTCTCGTCACAGATGTATAATACTGAGCATACCAGCTTCGGTTTAGGCTTTCCACTCTTCACGTAACTTGAAGCCATATCCTTTTTGGACTACTAATAATCGAGCTTGCCAGCCGTCTATCAGCGAGGAACCCTCATGCACACCTATTCGCGAAGGTACAGACTAACCGTCGTTATCGATCTCTTGTCAACTGTCCACCAGCGAGGAAGTTCTCATGCACACCATTTACGAAAGTACAGACTAACCTTTTTTTATCCGTTGTGAAATCTGGCATATAAAAGAGATCCACTCCCACCGAAAGTCGTGTAAAGCTTTCTTTCATTAACCCTTCGCTTGCCAAGGTCCGTCTAGCCTGTACCCTTACTAGAAGGCTTGTCTCCTCAATGTCTCCTTAACGTGTTCAACCTATTCAGAAGCTCGCAACTACATATACTGCTTCGACAGACATTTTATCCATGTATGCGTAATGTCTTTTACTCGCTTGCTCGTCCTGACGATACCGTACTTGACAGCATGGACTCTTTTGAGTAATATTGGTTATCTGCGTCAACTCTCCTACCTAAAGCTAACCTCTCTGACAGGCCAATCACTGGACCTCCCAATAACCCTTCGCAAGGAACAAAGCCTGGTGATAGCGGAGGTGGAGGATGCATTATATGCTGAGGGATCCGCGGCCCGATTCGATTTCACTATGCTTTTTCTTCCTATGTAATCTTTCGCAATAAGATCAGTACTAGTCGGTCCGACAAGAAGACGTTGCAGGTACAAGTGCCAACAGAGGATAATTCGTCGTTTATTCAAGTTACATACAGGGGAGTATGATAAAGTACATTAAGCGAAAGAAATTTCTGTCTCCGTCAGAAGGTTAGTGCGACTTCGCATTCTGAATGAGGGCCGTGCCGCTACATTCGAAGTGTCAGTGTCAGAGTCTTGACGATATTGCAAGAGAAAATATCTTACAGGAGGATATCATACAAGGCGGTCTGATTTTTGTAGAACGCATAACCTAAGTGTTAACAGTGTTAGCAAGGTTCAGATAAATCGATCAACAGCTGGCATGTACCATCATTGGGCGAAGCCTACATAACGGGAAAATTAGTCTCAAGAGCGAAGGAAAAAGGAAAGAAACATACACCATTGATCAAAGCATCAGCGTATTTGAAAATCTTGTTACCGTTATTCTCTGTCAAACCCAAAGCGCCGAATTGCCAGGGCATAATGCTAACAACATCGGTTATATATTGAAGCTCCAAGAGCGTTGACCACTTACCCACTGAAAAATTGGAAATCATGAACATCATTAAATATCAACGAACGACAGGAACTTACGCTTGGTTTTGAGACAAGGCGGTCTTAATCCACGAAGGGTATATTTCAGTCTTGTTCTCTGAATACATCGTCAGTATCAGCGCATGACCCATCCGACAGAACTTACGAAGTCCAACAACGCCAAATTCTTCCAAGATGACGGGCTTGTTAGCCTTCTTGGCCGCTGGGCAAGGAATGAGTGACTAAACTCTAACTAATGAATAAAGGTTCGATCTTACCCTCGCTGTGGTAAGTAATCCACTCATTGCCCCATGCTTCAATAGAGAAGCCAGTGCCAGGATGATCCTACAATCCAAGTAGGTAAAGATAGACCGACCAGTATGGGAGATTTATTCACCTGTGACGGGTACCTGAGTTTAAGGCAAAGTTTGAGTGCTAGGTATCAAAGGAGTAGGAACTTCGACGAACCAGCCTTGAGGATACATGTGCTACACAGATTGTCATTAAGCGTTCGCATTGACCAAAATGGGACCACTCACATATGTTCCGAAGTCGATGTTGGGAAGGGTCATGTCAAGGTCGAAGTCTTCACCAGCTGAGGAAGAGATGAGTTTAAGAAAAGTTTGCGCATCTCGGGTGACTTGCATACCTTGACCGTTGAAATTGTAATCCGATGTCAAGTCGCCTGTCTTCCAGTAGAAGTGACCCTCTCCACCAGTCGTAATCAGATGGTAGGGATCACTATAAAAAAGAGGTAAGTAGCGTCCTCGACAAAGAACATGAGACGACTCACAGGCTTCGCACGAAATTGGATTGCTCCTTGTACCAGTTGTAGAGAGTGTTCGAACCTGGCACACAGTTGGGACCAGCTGGGAGATCACCTAAGCAACGAGCTTCGTTCATGAGTTCCCAAGCGAAGATGTTAGGTGAGTTCTTGTAACGTTCGACGATGGTCTTGACATAGCGCTCTGAGAGGTAAAGACACGGTCAACGAGGGCAGACGAATCTAGATAACATACAAAACTCACGGTAAGAGGCGATGGTCTTGGGATTGGTGAAGAAAACGTCATGAGTCACGTTAGTAGTGCCGACAAGGTAGTCAATGTAGAGCTCGAGACCCTGCAGCAGGAAAAGAAGATGAGAGGGTGATAAAGCAAAATCCGTAAATTCAACATACGCCATAGCCAGACCTGTAAGGAAAGTAGGTTAACGACTGGGATTTAACGGTCAAAAGAAAATGATACTCGCCAGTTGTTAGTGAAGGTAACAATGACCTTGATGCCGTACTTGCCAGCTGTTTCGATGACATTGTCGAGACGCTGGAGGCCTTGAGGACCTTCGTTCAAGGTCCAGTCAGAGCCAGCCTTGTCCCAAAGCTGATAATAAGTTAAGCCGGATTGCTTAGCGCCAGCTAATTCATCAGCAGTGATGGCTTCGTGACCCTATGAGAACGAGGGAGTTAAGACGCGTCAAACACGGTTGATTGTCGTCATAACTTACCCAAGTTCTGAGAACTTTGGCACCGGCAGCTTGCATTTGCTTGAAAGTGCTCTCAACGTCTGCATCAGTTGAAAGCAAAGGAAGCCACTAGAAAGATGTTAGTCGTCACTATTCATACTCGTTTTGACTATAGCGTCTCATACGTAGGAGTTGGCGCCGACAAAGTACTGCAAGCTAGACATGAGAACTGAGCAGCAACAACACGTAGTGAGTTGAACGTACGAAGGGCTTGCCATCGACCTCGAACTGAGAACCTTTAGTGGTAGCAAATCCTTTGGGCGTACTCAATGGCTTTGCCACGCAGAGAGAGGCAAGAAGAGCGGCAAAAGCAAGAGAAAGACGCATTGTGGGTGCTGGAGGTCATTGTGGGGTAAGGAGGTACTCTTTTTATAGAGCTGGGGTTGGTATGGGGTAGAGGTACCTCGGGAGATTGTCGGTCAGTGGGGAGTTGTAAATGATCTTAAATAATTCACAAAATATTTAAGCGCGCGCGTAACGGCCCGCGACGGTCATGAGGTCGTGATTTGATCTTCTTCATCTTTTCCTCTCAAGCTCCTATTGACTCCTACGCACCCAGTCTCTAGCAACCGCGTGGTTCTAGATGACTATGCAGAATCTTTGTTCCTAGTCGTAACCCCTGAGAAGACCTGGGCCTTGATTTTTTAAACCGTTCAGAGGGGTAAGTCAGGGTAAGATCTGAGCAAGTCTTGATTATTTGAGTACTGATAAACTAGAACATAGTGGTTAAAGTTGAACGCTGTAACTATACAGTCTTAGCAAGATGCAAATCCAAGGATTCCAAGATGGCAATTTGAAGCGGGGGTTGAGGAGAGAAGGTCGAGCGAGGGAGCGAGAAAAAGAAGGGTATTCCCCTCTTGAAAATGCAGTGATATATGAAGATTGATTAAATTTCCATGCAAAAAAAATGCAACGTGCCACTCCAAGTATAGAGAGGGCGGCTCTATGATCTTGCGCTATATGCAAAAAGTGAAGAGGGAGAAAACGAGATTATGTTGGAGGGACACAATTGCCAAATTGAGGCGGGGAAGTTGGTTCTGCCATCAGCTATGTATGTACGGAAACAAGAGTAAGTAGCTGAATAATCAAGACTTGAAAACATAAAGCGTACCTTGAGAGTCTGCACAGACGTATACACAAACGCGATTGACCCAAACACAATCAACAAAACATCCGCGGCTTTCTGCCTAAATGTTTTTGCACAAGCCCTGTAATGCAGCATCGCGGGGTAGACATAGCAAAGAGGCACGCTGTCATGTATCGTTCAGCACCTCAGGAATGAACAAGAGGTCATAAAATGGACTTGCCAGGCGAAGCACCCCACGAATGCAACAAATTTATCCAAATCCGCCGCACCGACCCAACTCAACGCAGTGCAAAGCATGACCATCCCAAATCTGAACGCATTTTTTAGCCACTTGACGCGCATATCTACTTTTCCGCTACGTGTGAACAGCCCATTCTCCATGATACGTACGGCCGGGAAGAATTGGAGGGGAATAGACAGAAGAATCGCGAGTGCATAAAGGAATTGAACCTGTTTGGACAAAGGGTTAGCGGGTGAGGCCGAGAGAAAAGACAATACAGGACATACTGCTTGAACCAGTTGACTATTCAAGTTGAGGTTAACAAGTACAACGGTTTCAATGTCTGAGCCAAACGTCAAGTATCCAAGCGCTCCTGCACC